GGGTCCGTCATATCATAGTGATAGTTATATTGACAATAGCCTTGCTGCTTTAAGCTGTGATAATGTAAACAATCAAGTAGAGCCGTCTCTTTATGTAATCGCTGATAGTGTAAGTGCTAGCAATAATATAAATAGTGGTAATGGTACTATAAATGCTGCCAGTCAAATCCCTATGGGGGACTGTGCTGTTAATAATGTAAATGCTGCTGGTAAATTATCTAGTGCTTGTAATTCAGTAATGCCTGCTAGTAAAGCTTCGTATAGTTCTGTGGTGGCTACTGGGGAGGCTGCCTGTGTTGACTCTTCTGGCGAGGCCTCGTCTTCTGATGAGTCCTCGGTGGACTCGGATATGACTTGTGCTTCTAGCTCCCGGAAACGGGCTGCTTCTGAGGTTTCATCGGATGAGGCCGGCCCCTCTGATTCAGATTCCTTGATGATTTCGCCCTCTCAGGCTCCTAAGACTGGCAAGAGGGCCGCCCTGAATGTTCCGGGCTCTTCTGGCTCCCACCTGCCTGGTGGGACCGCTGGTGCTGCCTTGGCGGCTATTTCGCGTGGTCCTTCATCTGTCGTGAAGAAATGATTATGTCTTGTCTTTTCTTTCTCATGGCGTTGTCTGTTCTCTCTCTGAACTGCAACGGAATCAGGGATCAGCCCAAGCGTGCTGGTCTCGTGCAGTGGTTGCGCTCCCTCCCTGTAAGTGTAGACATTGTCTGCCTTCAGGAGACGCATTGTTTGTCCTTGTCGGAGTGTTCTTTGTGGTTTCAGTCCTCCGGTTTTAGTTGCGCCCTTTCTTGTGGCTCTGTACATTCTTGTGGCTGTGTTGTTCTTTTTCGGCCTTCTCTGTCTTTGGTCAATTCTTGGAGTGACGACGTTGGCCGTTATCTCCAATGTGAGTTTGTGTTCTGTGGTAAATCCTTTCGTGTGTGTTGTATTTATGCGCCTAACCGCAACCCTGCACGTGACCAGTTTTTCGATGATCTTCAAGCGAAGGTGGATCCGTTGGTTCCCACCATCCTTTGCGGCGATTTCAACGCGGTTTTTGATCGGTCGGTTGACCGTTTCGGTTCGGACCCATCTGACCCGTCTCGTGAGAGTTTTTCTTCTCTCCGGGACCTTTTCGATTCCTGTTGCACTGTCGACATTTGGAGGTATCTCCATCCTTCTTCTTCTAGCTTTTCTTGGACCAGGTGGGACGGCTCTCGTGCCTCCCGTATTGACCTCTGTGGTATTCCGTATGTGTGGGTTTCTTCTGTTCTCTCGTGTGATCTCCTTCCCTGTCCCTTCTCTGATCATTGTGGGCTTCTCACTGTCGTCTCTGTCCCGGATGTCGTCCCACCTGGCCCCGGTCTTTGGAAGCTTAATATTTCTATTCTGGAAGAGCAAGCGTATGTCCGTTTGATTTGTGACTTTTGGGCGTCGTGGCGCTCCTCGGTCCTCCGTTTCCCCTCGTTGGCGGAATGGTGGGACGAGGGAAAGAGTCGCATTAAAGGGCTCTCGATTCGCTATTGTTGTTCAAGGTCAGCTGCTCGGTCCTGTAATAGGGATCTTCTTGTGCGTCTTGTTGACCATCTGAAGTCTAAGGTTGATGCTGGTGCTATGTCTTGTCTTGGGCCTTATCATTCTGCCCTCTCAGAATTGGCCGTCTTGGACTCTGAGCCTGCTAGGGGCGCTCAGGTTCGCGCTAGGGTCAGATGGGTCGAGGAGGGCGAGATTTCGTCTTCCTATTTTTTCTGCCTTGAGAAGAAATGGTCCGCGGATCGTTGGATTTCTGCGCTGAGGGAGAGCGACGGCTCTATTGTTTCCTCCCCTGTTGATTTATGTCGTTCTTTGTCCTCGTTCTATCTTGATCTTTTTACTGCCTCCGACACAGACTCCTGTGCTCAGTCCGCCCTCCTGGGGAACTTGTCATCTGTCCTCCCCGGTGATCAGGCGGCTTTGTGTGAGGGTCATCCGTCAGTTACGGAGGTTTCTTCAGCTCTTCTCGGTATGGCCAGGCATAAGGCCCCGGGGCTCGATAGTCTGCCGGTAAAATTTCATGTTAAGTTCTGGGATGTTCTCGGTCCGGATCTTGTCTCCGTCTTAAATTCTTGTCTCGATTCGGGTACCCTGGCTCTTTCTCAGCGCAGAGGCATAATCTCATTGTCTGTTAAGAAGGGTGATCGCCTTGACCCTCGTAACTGGCGGCCGATAACCCTTCTTAACGTTGATTATAAGTTGGCTTCCCGTGCTATTGCTGGGCGGTTGCTCAAAGTAATCCATCTTGTTGTTGCTAAGGACCAGACATGTGGGGTCCCCAGGAGGTTTATAGGCGAAAATGTCGCGCTCCTTTGGGATGTCGCTGACTATGCCTCCTCCTCTGGCGCCTCGGTGGCCATTCTTTCCCTGGATCAGGAGAAGGATTTTGACCGTGTAGACCGGTCTTTCATGCGGTCCACTCTGTGTACTATGGTCTTTGGCCCCTCCTTCATTTCTTGGGTAGATTTGTTCTATCATCGGGTTCAGAGTGCAGTCAATGTTAACGGCTACTTGTCATCTTTCTTTAGCCTTTCTCGCGGTGTGCGGCAGGGTTGTCCCCTGTTGCCTTTGCTCTATGTTTTGGTCTCCAAGGTGCTGGCGGTCAACATTCGCTGTAACCCCCACATTTCTGGTCTCTGTCTTCCTGGGGCTCTTCCGCTTTCTCCAATCTCTCAGTATGCGGATGATACGTCTCTTATCTTAACATCGGATGATGCCATTGTTACGGTTTTCGAGACGTATGCTCTTTTTGAGCAAGCATCGGGTTCGAAGTTGAATCAGTCCAAATCTAAAGGGCTCTTGCTGGGTGGCTGGTGTGGTCGGGTGGATCCCCCGCTCGTTTTGGACTGGTCGTCCTCTAAGCTCAAGGTCCTTGGTGTCTTCATCGGTGTGGGTGATTTGGAGGCTGATAATTGACGCCCCAGGATTGATGCCATGGAACGCATACTCAACTCCTGGCGTTCTCGCTCTCTTTCGTTTCGTGGCAAGGCCCTGGTTGTTAATGCTCTGGCCCTCTCCCGGGTTTGGTATGTGACGTCCCTCGTTCACATGCCTCCTTGGGTCCTAAAGGAACTTTCCTCTCTTGCTTTCTCCTTTTTCTGCTCTGGTAAGCGTGAACTGGTCTTGTGCTCTGTTGTTGTCCAACCCTCGTTGTTTGGTGGTTTTTCGGTGGTCGATGTTAAACTTAAAGTCTGGGCTCTTCTCGGTCAGTGGGTGAGGAGGTTTGCCTCCTCCTCTTCTGGCTGGGTTTCTTTTATGTCATTTTGGTTTAACTTTCATTTTGGTGCCTCCCCCCTTGACGTTCTTTCCCGGCCGTATTCCTATGACCCCAGGGTCTTGCCACCCTTCTATAGGTCTCTTCTTCTTGCTTGGCGTGGTCTGGATGGGTCTTTTTTGGTGTCTCTTGATGCCGTCGTCTATGGCGCGTCTTCCGCTCATGTCTGTTCCCCTGTGTCAATCTCGAGTACCAAGGCCTGTTACCTGTTCCTTTTGTCCGAAAGTATGGTCTCTCCACATTGTGTGGAGAAGTTTGCTGGGGTCTTTGGTGCTCTTGATTGGCGGGCCACTTGGCGTTCCCTTTTGTTTTTCGATCTGGATCGTCAGGTGGTCGACCTGAGTTGGAAGGTTGCTCATGGGGTCCTTTATACAGCGCAGCGTCTCGGGTCTTTCGGGTTGCCTGTTCCTCTCTCGTGCTTTTGTGGGGCTCCTGTGGAATCCTTGGAGCATCTTTTCTTTTCGTGTCCTTTGGCTCAGAGTGTTTTGTCTTGGCTTCAATCTTTGCTGTTTGCTTTTTCCCCTATGTGTCCGGTTATTTCGTGAAGGCATGTTCTTTTTGGTTTTAATTCGGATGAGTTGCGTGTCACGCCTCGTATTTTTGTGTATTCGCTGAACTTGTCAAAGTTTCTAATCTGGCATTCCCGGAATGACTTTAGGTTTCGCGGTATCTATCCTGGCACTGCCGAGGTCATCACAAAGGCTAAGGTGCGCACGAGGTTCAATATTCCACTCTTTTTCAAGCGCTTTAGGTCCTCTCGCTGCCGTCGGTACTTTCATAGGCACTGGGGTGCTCGTGGTGTCGTTGCGTCTGTTGTGGATGGCCGTTGTTTGGTTAATATTTAGTCTGTGTTTTTGCTGTCTCTGTCTTGATTTGTTTTATGGCTGTTTTTGTATAGTGTAGGACCCTAAGCTGGGTATCTGTGTGTTTTGTCTGTGCCCTTTTGTGCTGGGTCTCCTTCATTGGTGTACTGCACGGGGGTCGTTTCGTGTTGCATGGCCCTAATCTGGGCATTTCTGTTGGTATTGGTGTTCTCTTGTCCTGGGTCTCCTTCATTGGTGTACTGCAGGGAGTTCGGTTGTGTTGCATGGCCCTAATCTGGGTTTTTGTGACTGAATGACAATGTGACAATGTGACTGAATGTTAATGATGGGCGGACACGGTGAGCTTTGCTCTCGCTTTTTACATCTTGTGCTGCTATCATACTGGGTCTGGAACTGTGAAAGTGGGCTCAGTGTTTCTCTAAGTGGTTGCTCGTCTAGTCTTCGTTTTAAAATATCTCCTGGAAAGCAAGAATGGGGCGATTTATCAAGGAACATTTTTGGTTGATTGGAATAGTGCGTCGTTTTGCCTGGCCCTTGGGATTACAGATAACGTGTTCTTGTCATCACCCTTGTTTGTACTATTCTAATTGCAGTGTGGCATTCCGCTGTGTGATGATTTATGACATTGTTTTCAAACTGAACCCTGGTCCCAATGGTCCGTTAACCCGCAACCCAAACAATCTTATTACTGTGGAACAGAGTGGAATGTCACTCAGTGACATGTCATTGAAAATATGCAGTTTGAATGCTAGATCGTTACGGAATAAATCAGCAGCCTTTGTTGGATTGGTGAATGATTTGAAAGCCGATTTGTTTACAATTTGTGAGACCTGGTTGTCCGTCAACGACTGTGCTGTTCTTAATGAACTTACCCCGTGCCTACAGATATGGATGCCACACAATTTAGAGATCTCTTGGATTCAATGGGCCTGCAACAACATGTAAAACAACCCACTCACACTCAATGTCACACCCTTGATTTACTTATCACCCGGCAGTCTGATGTCATAGTAGCGAAAGAACCAGAGATAGGGAGATATTTCTCAGATCATGCCATTGTCCTATGTGATCTTAGGACAGCTGTGTCTGCCTCTAAAGTCACGCATGCTGAGTTCCGGAAACTCAAAGCAATTAACAAGCAACAGTTTTTGGAAGATATTCGTAATTCTAGTTTATATCGTGACCCTCCTAATACTCTTGATGAACTTGTGGAATGTTACAATAATACTGTAAGATCAGTATTGGACAAACATGCGCCAGTCCGGGCTCGCCACCTGAAGTCTCAGTCAAGTCCTCCATGGTTTAATGATGAAATAGTGAAGGCGAGACGTGAAAGACGGCGTGCTGAAAGGAAATGGCAGGCTAGTCGGCTTAATTCGGATCTCGCTGTATTTAAAGCCAAACGAAATTTTGCATTGCATGTCATGAACGAGTCTAGACGGGCCTATTATAAACAATATATTGATGAGAATAGTTCTGACCAGGGAAGGCTTTTTCGGGCCAGTAAACGCCTTTTGAATTTTCATGTAGATAGGGCTCTGCCGCCTCATTCGGATGCTCGGATGCTAGCAAATGAGATGGGCGAGTATTTTGTCCACAAAATCACGGCTATTCGGTCTGCGCTGGATGCGGATGCCAGTGGCGCAACTTCGCTTGCTACATCAGCCTCAACGTGTAGTGAGTTTTCTGAATTTTCTCCACTGTCTGAGGAGAGTGTACGGAGAATTGCTGCCTCATGTGCAAAGTCGTGTGCCTTTGATCCCCTACCATCGTCTATTCTGTCCTTCTGTTTGGATGAACTGCTCCCTGTTATTAGGAAAATTGTCAACTTGTCTCTTGAGTCTGGCGTCTTTGCAGAGAACTGGAAGAATGCTTTAGTTCACCCCTTGCTTAAGAAAGCAGGACTCAAACCTATTAACAAAAATTTTCGACTGGTGAGCAACTTGCAGGTTACATCAAAGATCACGGAAAAGTCCGTGGCTATCCAATTACAAGATCATATGACAGCCATATCGGCAGAATCACAGCACTGAGACGGCGTTATTAAAAGCTACAAATGATCTTCTGCTAAATATGGACAAAGGTCACGTCACATTGCTTGTTATGTTAGATCTCAGCGCTGCGTTTGACACCGTAGATCACGGTATTCTTCTGCACAGGCTGCAGTCCAAGCTTGGCCCTCGGGATAAGGTTTCATCATGGTTTAAATCTTATTTGGCGAGAAGAACGCAGCAGGTCTCAGTTAACGGATCGCTCTCTGATAAATTTAATCTGTCTTGCAGGGTCCCATAAGGTTCTTGTTTGGGCCCCCTCTTATTTACCATCTACGCGAGTTCGCTGTTTGACATCATGAAATCTCATCTGCCATCCGTTCACACCTACGCGGACGATACACAGCTATATATATCGTTTAATCCCATTGATAAGACCAACGAGGCTGATGCTGTGATTGCGATTGAGAACTGTATTCGTGACCTTCATGCTTGGATGAGAGATGATAAGTTAATGCTAAATGACGATAAGACTGAGTTCCTGATCATTGGCACGGAACGACAGTTATCAAAGGTGTCCATTGACAAGATCAAGATCGGCCAAGCTGAGGTATCCCCTGTTTCTTCAGTGCGCAATTTGGGCACCTGGTTCGATTCTCATCTGGACATGTCGACTCATGTGACTAAGACTTGTGCTAGCGCGTTTTATTATTTGTACAATATCCGGCACATTAGGAAGTATTTGTCTCGTGAGTCCACCGTGAGGCTTGTTCACGCGTTCATCACAAGCAGGCTTGACTACTGTAATGGTTTATTGTACGGTGCTCCTGAGTATTTAATTAAGAAACTTCAAAGAGTCATGAATGCCGTGCTCGATTGGTTTACTGTGCACCTAAGTATTGTCATGTTACTCCTTTGCTAAGAGAAGTCCACTGGCTACCAGTGCGCTTGCGCGTAGATTTTAAGATTCTCCTTGTTACATTTAAGATTCTTCACGGTGTTGCACCTAGCTATCTTAAGGATCTTGTCTCTGTCTTACCGGTCTCACGTTACCAACTACGCCGTAACAATAATGGTATATTGTTAGAAAGACCTCAGCTAAGAACGAAGAAGACCTTGGGAGATCGTGCGTTATCGATGGCTGCCCCCTTTTTATGGAACAGTCTTCCTCTGCTAATTAGACAGGAAACATCAATCGACTCTTTTAAACGCTCTGTTAAAACATATTTATTTAAAAAGGCTTTTAGTTAGATTGTTTATTTATTTATTTTTTATTTTTATTTTTTTAATATTGTAATGTTAATATTGTAATATTGTAATTTTACCGAGTAATTTTACTGGTTTTAATTCAGTTTGTAATAATATTGTAATGCGCTTTTGAGTATTTTTATAGAAAAAGCGCAATATAAGTATTAAATATTATTATTATTATTATTATTATTACTGTTTTTGTTCTGTGTCGATGTTTTCTGGTGCTGTGCCCTTGTGGGGGTTTTGCGTGTTGTGTCCTGTTCTGTTCGTGTCTGTGTTGTTGTTTGAGTGTGTGTGTCCTTCAGGAGTGAGTGTGTTCAATTTTTGCGAGGTGGGGTTCGATTCCATAACGAAGTTGGTGTCTGGTGGCCCTCAGTTTTTGGTGGACCCAACCCTATGGCATTGCACTCTAGCCTAGGGTTGGATCAGGTCTGTTGATCGGCAGGCATTGCACCGCCCTCACGGGAGCCTGACCGTTCGCCTCAAACATAAAAAAAACTTACCTGACGCGGGTTTTTGGCCTGCGTCTTAGTATCTTCACGGATCCATATTTCCAGGTTCGGCTCGTGAAGTCAAGCTATCCATTGGAGGGGTGACCTCCCTCTGGTGAACTTTCTTCTTTGGGCCAGATTCTTGTGAGTATTACGGTGATTTATTTTTCCTGCCCCAAGTGAGTACCTGCCGAGAGGGAAAACTCGGTGGTTTTTTCCTTCCTTTGGTCGCCCATCCCATCTGGGGTTAGTCTAGGGTTCAGGGCGTGCCTTTTTTGGCCCTTCCCTGTTCCGACTTTTCCCTTCAAGATGGGGGTCCCTGGTTTTTTGCCACGTTCTATTGACATCAAGCTTGGAGATTTCCCTGACGACGTCTCCAGTATTGATATTGTGAAGTCTCTTTTAGACTTTTTTGAGGAAAAAGCCCAGTTTAAGGTGGTGGCCATCCAACAGTGCCCCAATAAGATTGCTCGGGTGACTTTCGATGAGGGAGGGGAGGTGGCTAGGGCCGATTTTGAGGACGAGGGGTCTGTCCTTATTCGGGGGGTAAAGTGTCAAGTGATCCACCCTGCCCCCCTGGGGGAAGGCGTTGTAGTGTATCACTACCCCTATGAGAACAATGACAGTCAAGTGGAGCGGGCTCTCTCCCAGTTTGGTTTGGTCAAGGATGTTTCTTACCAGTCGTGGGTCGGTCTCAAGGGTGTCCATACAGGTACCCGGATAGTTAGAATGGACCGCACGACCCGCATCCCGCGGTCCATTATGATTGATGGGTTCCGCTGTAAGATTTGGTACAGAGGTCAGCCGGTGACCTGCAATGTTTGCAGGGAGGAGGGACACGTAGCCACTAAGTGCTATAAAAAGGGTACTTGTTTTAATTGTCGCCAGCCGGGGCATGTGTCCCGTGACTGCCCCGATAGATCCTACGGCAGAGGCGGTTGGGGCCAGCCGTCCAAAGGTGTCTTCTTGGTTTCTGAGCCAGATGGGGCCGCTGGTGGTGGGTCCCCTGCCGTTGAGGCTCATCGTACCGAGCCCGTTTCTGTGATGGGGGTTGGCCCATTGGGCCAGACCTATTCGTCTGCCCCCCCTTCATCTGGTGGGGGTGGTTCTTTGGACGGTGGGGTTGCCCCTGTCTCAATTCCTGACAGTGAACTTTCTTTGAGTGTGTGTGGGGATAGCAGCGCTGCTAGCACTGTGTTGAATAGTCAGGGCTACATAGTTAGCAATAAGGATAATGCTCTTAGAAATGCAAACGATATAGAGAACGCTTCTAGTAAAGTAAGCAATAGTAGTAATGTAAGCTGCGGTAATGCTAGTAGTAATGTAAGTGACAGTGCTATTTGTACTGCAAGCTCTTCAAGCAATGCTGTTAATGTAAATAACTTAGATAATGTGGCTAGTAATGCAAAAACTGGTGCTGGTAATGCTATGGCTTGTTCCTCTGTCGATAGTGAGCCAAAAGCTGCTCATCGGCTGATCTAAATAGCAATGGGTCCCCTGTTTGGGGTGGGCCTGTCCCAGACGCAAGTATGGAGGTTTCTCCCTCTTCGTCTGTGGACACCGAGATGGTGTCTACCTCTAACCACCGCAAGCGGTCAGCCCCGGAGCCTCCTTTGGAGGACTCAGTGGCACTGCCGGGTTTCGCTTCCGGCTCGACTTCGAGTGAGCCGGGCAAGTAGAAAGTCTCTAAGAAGGCTCCCGGGCCTCCTGGTTGTCACTCTCTCCCTGCGAGTGTGTCTCTGGCCGCCAGGACGGCTTCTAGCCGGGGCCCCCTTTCTTGATAGCATTATGGGCTGCTTTATTATTTTCGTCATGTTGTCTATCTTGTCGTTGAATTGCAATGGGATCAGGAATCGGTCCAAAAGGGTTGGTCTTGTGCAGTGATTGCGGTCTCTCCCTGTTGGGGCGGACGTTGTCTGCCTCCAGGAGACCCACTGTCTGTCATCTTCTGAGTGTTCTTCGTGGTTTCTCTCTTCCGGTTTTTCTGCCGTTGCCTCTCCTGGGTCGTCTCATTCGTGTGGTTGTATTGTTTTTTTCGTCCTTCGTTGTCTCTGGTCAACTCTTGGTGTGATGTTCCCGGTTGTTACCTGCAGGTTGAATTCTCTTTCTTCAGTAGCTCTTTTCGGGTTTGTTGTGTGTACGCACCTAACCACAACCCTGCGCGGGACCAATTATTTGGGGATCTCCAATCCAAGATCGATCCCTTGATCCCCACGATTCTCCCACGGTGCTTTCCCTGTGGTATGGTCGTAGACGAGGAAATGGGGTTGAAATTGTGCTTGTTATTGGCCAGCTTCAGGCTGTAAAGCGGCCACATTCTTGAGTGTAGGCGAATTTGAAATTCTAAAGCCCTAGTTTCGTTACTCTAACCCTAAGAAATTGATACTCTAACCCTAAGAAATTGTTACCCTAACCCTAAGAAATGGTTACCCTAACCCCGAAGTCGTTACCTAACCCTAATGTATTTTCCTCAACCCAGTTAACACATTGAGGAGCATCGATTTGAAGCACTATTCCCTAGGGAGGGGAGGGAGGGGTCCCTAGAGACATAACGTGTCCTAAAAACCTATCATACAATGTTTTAGGTCCATAGGTGTGTGTATCTGGCTTTAAAATCTTACAGTGAGGAGATACCAAACGGGTCAGCCTCTGGGACCGTCTGCGGGACTCGCAAGGGCTTGTGGGGGCGACCTGCTACTATCCACCATAAACCGTGGGAAGGATTCCTCAACCACGCCCCTCACCCAGGGCATGCTTCAGCATCGCTTTTCGGCCTTTTGGCTAGATCAGCCAACAAGTAAGTGCTTTTTATTTTTGCTAAGTGCGATTTTTCTCGGCTTTTTTTTCGGTTCGTGAGCGATATAGTTTTCCTTAGAGATATGGATGTATGTGATAATGAGATACCTGTGACTGCTGTTAATGAATTGAATAATGAGATGCCTGTGACTGCTGTTAATGAATTGCCCGAAACAAGTGCAGATGATATGGAGAATGTTCAAGACCGCCATGTTGTGAATGGAGAATTGTACGCGTCACGGGCGGCAAGGACTGTTTTTTATGAGTACCCGCCACAACAGAGAGCTCTGTATTCCGAAAATGTTATGCCACAGCGGCCAAGAACTGCTTTTTTTACACCAAGCAAGAACACAACGGCCAAGTCGGTCTTTGAAGCTCTTGAGAAAGCCGAAATTGACGCGACGGAGATCGCATGTCCGCAACGGAAAATGAACGGAGAGGTCACCGTTACCTTTAAATCCATCTCAGCAAAGGAGAAATTCCTCCGCCTTAACTTGCTGCAAG